TGGCTCACGCCTGTAATCCTAGCACTCTGGGAGGCCAAGGTGGGAGGATTGATTGAGCTCAGGAGTTGGAGACCAGCTCTGAACAAGAGCGAGACCCCGTCTCTACTAAAAATAGAAAGAAATTGGCCAAACAACTAAAAAATACATAGAAAAAATTAGCCGGGCATGGTGGCGCAGCCTGTAGTCCCAGCTACTCGGGAGGCTGAGGCAGAAGGATTGCTTGAGCCCAGCAGTTTGAGGTTGCTGTGAGCTAGGTTGATGCCATGGCACTGTAGCCCGGGCAACAGAGCGAGACTCTGTTTCAAAAAAAAAAAGAAAGAAAGAAAGAAAGAAAGAAAGAAAGAAAGAAAGAAAGTTGTATGCAGAGGCCTTCTGGGGTGCTGGCAATATCCTATTACTTAACCTGGGTTGTGGCAACATACGTACTCATATTAGAGCTATTTGTTTAACTATATGTTTTACACATCTTCAATATGTATACCATATTTCACAATGAAAAAAACTATTTAAAATATGAAAATTAAAAGTTTCTCACCTTGATCCTTGAAATCAACTCTTTAATTCCTACAGTCCGGGCTTTTTCTATATAAGCTATCAGATCCATCATCTCTTCTGTTGTCTCAGGGACTTTTATAGCGTGCTCTTTAATTGCTTCAAATTCACTGCAAATACTGACATAATGCTCTGCTTTATTATTCTTATGGTAATTAATGTGATATACTCAATAGATGTGTTATTATGATTATTATAAAATAAGAATTGTGACATCCTAAAAATAATTGGTTAATTCACTAAGATATCTGAAAATGTTTAAGCTTATCCAACTCAGTATACACGATATACCAATAAAATCTATAAAATTAAGGTAATCTTTTCATATGAAATTATGGCATATTTAAATTATTTTTAGTGATCTCTTCAACCCTCTTGAATACTCGAGTAAGCAGTGTAGCATAGAGCATCCTTTGGATCATACAGTCCTAAATCTGAATCCTGCCTCAGCTGCTACTGGCTTGGTGATCTTAACGCAAATCTCTGAGGTTCAGTTTCCATATCTGTAAAATGAAGCTGTTAACATTCATCTTGCTGGATTGTTGTAATGCAAGAATTAATGTAAAGGGCCTAGCATATAGTACACTCTCATTTACTGGTAACTATAATCATTAATATAATCATTAGTTTATTATTATTAGTGCCTCTTGTGAAACATCACAGTATAGCAAGTAAAAAGATCAAACCCTTATACATACTTTTTAAAATCAGTGATTCTCTTAGACTATCCTATATATGTAAGTATAAACCTAGATACCCTATAGTCATTATTCAACTAAAGCTACATTTCATAGAATATTTTTCCTATACTTTAAAATATCTGTATTATCATGCTATTCCCAGAAATATCAGGAAAAACAATGTAAAAACAAGTATAAAAGAGGTAAGTGATTTTAAAAATGTATTTTAGTTCATTCAGGAATTTGGGAAAATATGTGAGAAATTATAGTCATTCATTCATTTAAAAAAGAGTTGAGTGCCTATACTGTGCTAAGCAAAGTTCTAAGCATTATAGATATAGTAGCAAACAAGACCTTGCCCTTATAAAGCTTACATTCAAGCTGAGGAGAGAGACAAAAGCACACAAATATATATTAATACATTAGGTAGTAAAAAGTACTATGAAGAAAAATAAAGCAAGGTAAAGATAAAAAGAATGATGGAGTGTAGGGAAGGGGCCACTGTCAGGGAAGGTTTTTCTAGGGAAGTGACATCCAAGGTGAGAGAAGGAAAAAAGTGAGTTATGCAAATATCATGAAGAGCTTCCAGGAAGAAAAAAACATCAAGGACAAAGGCCCTAGAGGTGGCAATAAGCTTGGCATACTTTAGGAATGGCAAACAGGTCAATACAAATGAATACAAGGAAGAGGATCTAGTATGAACTTGGAGAGGTGAGCAGGAGTCAGGTCATAAAGATTTTACTTTATAGTAAAGTCTTGATTATTGGAAATATAGGAGGAAAGCATTAATGTGGATAATGCAAAAAGACAGGTGATCCTCCTGGGGATCTGAGTGCCTTGGGGAGAGAGACTTCAGCAAAAGAAAATGAAGCAAACAAAATTATGACAGTAAGGTGGTCCAAGCAGATGCTAAACCAAACTGCGAAGCAAACAAATTACTCTTTAATCATCTTGTACTTAACCTAGTGGCACATATTTCCTCCTTTTAATGTTATCTATCTCAAGTATTAAGAATTTAAACGGGAAAGAATTAAAGAATGAACCAGGTGGAGAAAACTGGACAAATTTTCAGCTGTTCTTGTATCACGCTTTTATAATAAAATATTTGTTGGAAGCAATAAAATATTCCAGAAAAATCACAGATATTACAAAAATAAATACCAAAAAAAAGTTATGTTAAATATAAATCACTTGTCGATTAACTATGACACTGTCATTGCTCTTACTCATGAGGATGGTTAAAACTCTTAAGAAAGGGACAGGGTCTAATACTTGACTCTCCTTGATATCTCTTTAAATAGTATACTTTTGTACAAAGTATGCCTGATAAACCCTTGACTCTCTGACAGTCATATGTTTGTTTCTTCATTTAAAAATATTTATTGGGTGCCTATTGTATGCCAGGCAAGGGGCTAGATGCTTTACAGATGCTATTTGTGATCCTAACATTAGTCCTGCAAGGAGGGTATTATTTTTCATAGTTAACACAGTAGGAAATTGAGGCTCAGGGAAATTAAGTAATTTGCCAAGAGTTATGGAACTAGTTAATGGCAGAGTTAGGATTCAAATTCAGGTCTTTCTGATTCCAAAACATATAATTTTTTTTTACTTTGCTTCTGGGAAAACAAACATAATAGCTAACCATGTGCCAGGAACTGTGATAGGTGCTATACATACATCAGTTTTAATCTTTATAGAAGTTACAAACTCAGATTCCTTTGGGGCCACACAGGTAACAAATGGGTTAGATAAACTGGATGATGAGTTGCTTGTGCACTGGGTGAACAAATCACTGCAATATTTCCGGTCTAAAGACGAAAGCTGCTTCTTAGCTTCATTTACCACTGCAGGCCCAGTCTTCCCAATTTTTAAGAAAAGTAAGCAATATGAAGAGCATGTAAGTGTGCGTGTGTGTGTGTGTGTGTGTGTGTGTGTGTATGAACTTCTAATTTTAAAATGTTGATAGCAAAAAAAGTGTGAAACGAGTAAAACACATTTGCATGACACAACTAGCTAGCAGCCTACTATGAGTCCAATTTTATAGCTATCCTGCAAAGTAAGTATTATTGTCTCTATGTGACAGATAAGAAAAATAAACTAGGTGACAGAATAAGTAAATATTGAGGTCAGAAATGATCCCAGATCTGGCCAATATCACAGACAGTCTATAATCTTTTCATTATTACGCAGCCTATATCCAAACACTGGTTTGTTTCAATTAAAAAAAAAAAAACATCCTGGGTTGCCTTAAAACTACTCTCAAACAGTATCAAACAAAAGAACTCAGCCTAATGGGACTACAAAGGAACCACAGGAAGCAGCTATGGAGGAGAAATTGTAAGTACTTATATATTTTAATTTTTTATTTTTAAACAAGAGTTATTTTAGTCAAATTTTTTTAGTCCTATAATTCTGAGTTTGGGAATGAATTCTACTTACCATTCATTTTCTTTTCTATATTTTGAAGCTATGTCATTTAATAATATGTTTGCAAAGGCTTTTGCTTTATTTGTCAGGCCTGTCTTCAAATCTTCACAATCCAAACGCACCATAGGGTAATGAATCCACTGAAGCAAAAGCATTATTTCTGAAGCAAGACTGAAAAATTTTTCTATAAACTTAAAAAAAGATGTTTAAAAAACGCTTAGAATTTTCTATTCATCAGTGATTTGATAGTAGTGTTTTGTGTTGAAATTCTTAACTAATACAAATGCAAACTCATCTCCTTTTGCTAAGTGACTAAAATTTTTTTATTGCATGAATCTTTTTTTCACCTATCCTTTCACAGAGGAATTTGCCAATCTATAAGTAAATATTCAGTACAATGGCATTTATAACATCAAAATCTTAATGTATCAAAAGGTAAAATTTCCCTAAATAATTATTTTTTAAAACTATCCCCAGAGTCAACCCATTTCTCTCTGTTTAGAAATAAACCTATGTGATGTGACAAGGTGTGTAGCTGACAAATATCTACTTTTGCCATCACTGATGCCTCACTAAAGATTCTAATTCAATCTTTAGGAAAAGAAATAAAAGGAACTTTTTGATATTGGTCAAGATAATCCAGATGGAGAGAAATACTGTGTTCTGCTAGTACCAAAGATACAAGATACTAGAATTTATACCAACTTCTTAATAGCCAGACACTGAGATAATTTTTAAAAATTAGGATAATTTTACAATTATGAAAGAAGAAAAACACACAAACAATATACACCATGATATCTTTCATATAAAATTATAGTGGGCAAAACTAAACTATGAAGGATGTATACATAGGTGGTAAAACTATAAAGGAAAGCAAGAAATGTTAGGATAATAGTTACCAATAAAAGTGGGAGACAATTATAATTTGAAGAGAGGCACATGGTGGGTTCTGGGGTGCTTCAAAGTTCTAATTCTTAATCTACATGGTTATTACTACCTAAGTTATAATTACCTATCAATCTTTACATATATGCTTTATACACTTTTCTGTATGTATGTTATATGTCACAATTATAATATGCTTTTTAAAGGAACATTTTAAATACACAAAAGTAGACAAAATGTACCCATGATCCAGCTTCAACAATTAGCAATTCATGGCCAATCCTTTTTTCTCTATACCTATGATCACTCCCCTGCCCTGTTCTATTTTATACACAAATCATGAGCATCATATAAATTCATCTCTGTAGATGTTATAGTTCATAATTTTTAGATTTCCCCCCAAAGAACCATACCAACCACTACAGTATATTAGAAATAGACAAAGAAATTCAAGGATATACTATTAATCCTAAAAGTAAATTTTTAAATAGTCATAAAACTATCCCAAAATTATTTCAAAATTGTAGAAAATGTCACAGCAAAATACTAGACCTAACGTAATAATCATTCTGAAATCTACTGAAACATACACTTGCTCTAGATATTCAGGGCTTATAGGTATTATAGGTATGACAAGTTACAGTTAAACAAACAAAAAAATTAGCTGTTAGGCCAGG